ACAGCCGACAGCCCTATTGGACAACTGTTAAAATTCATATTATGGCAAGAACCAATCAGCTAACTAAAGAAAAACGAGTGGCCATCATTACTTTAAGAAATGAAGGTCAGTCAGTCCGGAAAATTGCAAAAACTTTAAATGTGTCCCAAAGTGGAGTCGCAAAAACCATCAAGCGCTACAACAAAACTGGCACACATGAGGACTGACCCAGGAAAGGAAGACCAAGAGTCACCTCTGATTCTGAGGATAAGTTCATCCGAGTCACCAGCCTCAGAAATGGCAAGTTAACAGCAGCTCAGATCAGAGACCAGATGAATGCCACACAGAGTTCTAGCAGCAGACCCATCTCTAGAACAACTGTTAAGAGGAGACTGCGCCAATCAGGCCTTCATGGTCAAATAGCTGCTAGGAAACCACTGCTAAGGAGAGGCAACAAGCAGAAGAGATTTGTTTGGGCCAAGAAACACAAGGAATGGACATTAGACCAGTGGAAATCTGTGCTTTGGTCTGATGAGTCCAAATTTGAGATCTTTGGTTCCAAGCGCCGTGTCTTTGTGAGACGCAGAAAAGGTGAACGGATGGATTCCACATGCCTGGTTCCCACTGTGAAGCATGGAGGAGGAGGTGTGATGGTGTGGGGGTGTTTTGCTGGTGACACTGTTGGGGATTTATTCAAAATTGAAGGCACACTGAACCAGCATGGCTACCACAGCATCCTGCAGCGACATGCCATCCCATCCGGTTTGCGTTTAGTTGGACGATCATTTATTTTTCAACAGGACAATGACCCCAAACACACCTCCAGGCTGTGTAAGGGCTATTTGACCAAGAAGGAGAGTGATGGAGTGCTGCGGCAGATGACCTGGCCTCCACAGTCACCGGACCTGAACCCAATCGAGATGATTTGGGGTGAGCTGGACCGCAGAGTGAAGGCAAAGGGGCCAACAAGTGCTAAACACCTCTGGGAACTCCTTCAAGACTGTTGGAAAACCATTTCAGGTGACTACCTCTTGAAGCTCATGGAGAGAATGCCAAGAGTGTGCAAAGCAGTAATCAGAGCAAAGGGTGGCTATTTTGAAGAAACTAGAATATAAAACATGTTTTCAGTTATTTCACCTTTTTTTGTTAAGTACATAACTCCACATGTGTTCATTCATAGTTTTGATGCCTTCAGTGAGAATCTACAATTTAAATAGTCATGAAAATAAAGAAAACGCATTGAATGAGAAGGTGTGTCCAAACTTTTGGCCTGTACTGTATGCAAACGGTAATATTATGGAAGGAGAGCGAAAAAAACTGATAGATAAACAATGAAACATTACATTAACAAGGATTTAAGATGGTACATAAACACACAAGAGTCAGAGGAATACCAGTGGTTATATTCCACACACAAAGAATAGCCTATAGCTATATCTATAGATATATATATATATATATATATATATATATAGAGAGAGAGAGAGAGAGAGATATCTATAGATACATATAGATATATATTCTTTGTGTGTGGAATATATGCTGACAATAACCGATAAATGATCACACCCAGAGCCGCCAGTGTCAACAACATTTTGTAGAGAGGGGGGTAAGTGCTGTCCCATTCCTATTTGTAGCATACGGAGCCCTTTCAGACTCTCACACTCAATCACTTACAGCTGACGTCAGTTAAGTCAGTGAGGGTTCAGGACTTGAGTCTTTAGGGGCCGGATTGGAATTGGGCCTATGTATCTCATCTGGCCTGGGAACACTTCAGGGTCCCCCAAGAGGAGCTGGAAAGCGTTGCTGGGGAGAGAGACGTCTGGGGTGCTTTGCTCGGCGTGCTGCCCCTGCGACTTGGCTTTGGATAAGCAGTTGAAAAAGGACGGATGGATGGTGGCTAATGAACTAAAATGAGTTTGACACCCCTGGTGTACAGTACACCTTTAGCTCTAGCGATGCTGGCCCATTTATCCAGGAAAAATGCTTCCTTTTTTAAATGTTTCTCATTTAAGTTGCACTCTCTGTTGCTCTTTCAATAAGATGGTGGATTTACAGGAGACAGATTTAAACAAGAATGGTGAAAACGATTGCAGCTGCTATATACTGACTTCAATTAGTCTAGTTAAAATTACAAATTACAAATGACCTTCTGATTGCTTCAGACAAAGGACTCGTCTCTGTTCTTGTTTTATTAGATCTTAGTGCGGCGTTTGACACAATTGACCATCAAATTCTACTGCAGAGACTGGATCACTTAATTGGCCTAAAAGGTTCAGCACTAAGCTGGTTTAAATCTTATTTATCTGATCGTTTTCAATTTGTTGACGTTCGTAATGAATCATCCTTACGTACCAAAGTTTGTTTTGGAGTTCCGCAAGGTTCTGTGCTCGGACCAATCCTATTTACTCTATATATGCTTCCTTTAGGTAACATCATTAGAAATCACTCTATAAATTTCCATTGTTATGCGGATGATACACAGTTGTATTTATCGATGAAGCCAGAAGAAAGTAATCAATTAACTAAACTCCATAACTGCCTTAAAGACATAAAAAATTGGATGAGCACCAATTTCCTGATGTTAAATTCAGACAAAACTGAAGTTATTGTTCTTGGCCCCAAACAACTCAGAGACTCTTTATCTGATGACATAGTTTCTCTAGATGGCATTGCTCTGGCCTCTAGCACTACCGTAAGAAACCTCGGAGTAATATTTGATCAAGATTTGTCTTTTAATTCTCATTTAAAGCAAACCTCACGGACTGCATTTTTTCATCTGCGTAATATTGCGAAAATTAGGCCTATCCTGACCCGAAAAGATGCAGAAAAATTGGTCCACGCTTTTGTTACCTCAAGGCTGGATTACTGTAACTCTCTATTATCAGGTAGCTCTAGTAAGTCCTTAAAAACTCTCCAGCTAATTCAGAATGCAGCAGCACGTGTACTAACAGGAACTAAGAAACGAGATCATATTTCTCCTGTTTTAGCTTCTCTGCACTGGCTCCCTGTAAAATCCAGAATTGAATTTAAAATCCTACTGTTAACTTATAAAGCTCTAAATGGTCAAGCTCCGTCATGTCTTAGTGAGCTCATAGTGCCATATTATCCCACCAGAACACTGCACTCTGAGAACGCAGGGTTACTCGTGGTCCCTAAAGTCTCCAAAAGTAGATCAGGAGCCAGAGCCTTCAGCTATCAGGCTCCTCTCCTGTGGAATCATCTTCCTGTTACGGTCCGGGAGGCAGACACCGTCTCCACATTTAAGACTAGATTTAAGACTTTCCTCTTTGATAAAGCTTATAGTTAGGGCTGGCTCAGGCTTGCCCTGTACCAGCCCCTAGTTAGGCTGACTTAGGCCTAGTCTGCCGGAGGACCCCCCTTATAATACACCGGGCACCTTCTCTCCTTCTCTCTCTCTCTCTCTCGTATCCTATTACTGCATCTTGCTTACTCGGCCATTCTGGATGTCACTAACTCGGCTTCTTCTCCAGAGCCTTTGTGCTCCACTGTCTCTCAGATTAACTCATATCGCGGCGGTGCCTGGATAGTGTGACGTGTGTGGTTGTGCTGCTGCCGTGGTCCTGCCAGATGCCTCCTGCTGCTGCTGCCATCATTAGTCATTAGTCATACTTCTACTGTTATTATACACATATGACTATTGTCACACAAGTATACTGCCAGATATTAATACATACTTTCAACATATTGTACCACAGTAGCCAGAGATATAACCATAATATTATTACTTTCAATAATGTTGTTGTAAGCTACTGTCATTACCTGCATCTCTCTCTCTCTCATTCTCTGTCTCTCTCTCTTTCTGTCTCATTGTGTCATACGGATTACTGTTAATTTATTATGCTGATCTGTTCTGTACGACATCTATTGCACGTCTGTCCGTCCTGGAAGAGGGATCCCTCCTCAGTTGCTCTTCCTGAGGTTTCTACCGTTTTTTTCCCCGTTAAAGGGTTTTTTGGGGGGAGTTTTTCCTTAACCGCTGCGAGGGTCCAAAGGACAGAGGGATGTCGTATGCTGTAAAGCCCTGTGAGGCAAATTGTGATTTGTGATATTGGGCTTTATAAATAAAATTGAATTGAAAATTGAATTGAATAGTCTGTATCATCAAGCTCCCACAATCCCCCTAATGTAAAATCCATGCATCCATCCATTTTCTGTATTTCCTCATCCTCTTGAGGGTTTGAGCCTATCCCAGCTGGCATTGGACAAGAGGTGGGGTACACCCTGGACAGGTTGCCAGACTATTACAGGGCTGATACATAGAGACAGACAACCATTCATCCTCACAGTCACACCCAATAGAGTCCCTAATGCAATAGTGTCATTTGATTAGGTAAACATTATCATCTTTAAAACTCAACACCTGTCATTTGTAACACAGCCTTAAGGTCTTTGTGTTATTTTTCTGTCAGACAGTGGACTCCTCAAAACAAGTGAACTGAACTTTATGGGTAAAATTGCAGGAGTGTCCCTTTAATAGCAGAGCCATTGCCACAATAGAAGACATGGGGGCATGGTTAGGTGTATATATTTCACCACTTAGTCGGTTTACAGTTCCCCTATTGTTTTTACTCTTGCTTTATGTTTTCATGATCTTGGAAAGCACTTTGTAAAAACTTTTGAAAAGGGCTATATAACAAAATCTATTATTATATTCCTTAAATCCCAAAGAGTTTCAAAAGAGCTACTGTATTTAAATTATGAGAAGGTCTTATGATGAACTGTTAAACACAACTTAGATGCAACTTTTAATTACATTTTCTTCTGGAGGAAACATTTTCTTTGTTGATGTTGCCTATGATTCTCATTAAGTGTAAGAAAAACAGCTTGTTAGGGGAAAAGCGCAATAAGGCTGACTGCAATAAGCCCATTGATTCTTATTACAAAACTCAATCTCGCTCAAAGAAATCCAGGAACAATCATTCTGGGTAAATATATTACTAATTAAAATGTGTGTCTGTGTGATGGCAAAGGCACAAAGAGTAACTGTGAAAGCAAACTTGCATGATGGCTTGTTTTATTTTAACAAAATTACATATTCATATCATAGGTCTATTAAAAAACAACAACACTGTACTGTAGAAAAGTTTCACAAAGAAAACTGCCTTTTTTGGAATAAAGCAAAAACAATTCAAGTAGTAGTGGCATGTTCTTTGTCTTTCTCCATTTATACATATCGTACTATGTACATTTATAAAACACAGGCGATAACCAGTCTGGTGTAACAGTTTAAAAATGTATTTACAGTCAGTCACAGACATTAAAACACTGTGCACTACAGTACTTCCGAAACCCCATCAGGTGATAGTTTCCTGTTAGTGTCTGAACTTCCCTTTCGCTCCAAGAAGGCAAAGCAAATCCATTCGAAAATACTTTAGTATTGATTGTTCGAGCGTTGAAATGGTTGCGTTTCATTGAATTGCGCTTCTTCTGTGATGATAAAAGTGCTAGACCTAATTCAGATGGGAGGAAAAGTGGGTTGAGTACAACTGTATCAGCATTATGGTTTCATGTTGCATCGATTGCTTTGTTAAATTTTAGAATAGTTAATGCAGCATTAAACATTTGGAGGATACGCTGAGGTTTGTACGAAACTCATCCAGCTGGTGATTCTTGATCAGCTCCATTATCAGCACACCTTACTGAACATATAGTGTGTCAGTATCTCAACAGCTAACATCAGCTGTTCCTGATGGGATTAGTGTGCTATAGGTCTTTTAAAGTAATATCGATCAGAATTTTAACAGCACAACAGGTGGTTATAGACTCTAGAAGATGCAGACTACTAAAAGACTCATTTCACAGCTCTGTTTCTAGTTATGATGCCCGTGAAAACACAAACGACACCACCACAGTACCTTTGGCAAACACATGTAGAACTAAGGACAAAACTTAAGAGGAATTCATACAATCATATATTTTTTTTAGGCTTCAGTTGCAGCTATTTCCATCAATGACAGTAGTCACCTATAGATGACATTCAAATACAAGACAGTCTTGTACAGACAGTGCATATCAGAAACTATGATAACCAAAACAATCATAATAACGTGACAGCTATGTTTAAGGTTTTAACAATGAACACTTTTCCCCAAAAACATCAAGTTCATGAGGTTTAATTTCTTCTAAAACGAACACGATCGGAAATTGAGGTTGTTGTAGGAGGCTGTAAAAACAATGCAAGCGGTCCTGAGGAAAGTCAAGTCATGTTCCAGTGGTTTCAGAGCTGAGTGCGAGCCTTGATTTATGGGAGGTATTTCATCGTGCCCTGCCTGTAAACATGCAAATGAAATGTAATGTAATAGAAAGGCAAGTTTCTAGGCGATTCATTTATTTTCCCTTACTTACTTGTCCTTAACCTAAAAGTCTCTTGATCTTCTGGCGAGTGGTGAATCAGTGCAGACTGACAGGAATGAGGAACAGCATGGAGAACTAGAGAAAGTGCTGGAGGATGATAAGTCAGTCAATAACCACTGTCTATAGGCTCAGAAACCCCGCACTGGCAGAATGCATGTCTCCTTCCTCTTCCTCCTCTTCCCTTTCCACCTCACCTCCACTATGAGCTGCTGAGTTCTTCCTCTTCACTTGTTTGCTAGAGGTGCCCCGGGGCCTCTGCATGGGCACCAGAAGGCGGAAGCCTGGCTGGGCGTTGGCGGAGGCTGCGCCCAGGGAAGTGGTAAAGGTCTTGAATGTGCAAGGCAGGAGGGAGGAGGAGCATGTGGATGAGGGGCTGGCACTCTGGACAGAGGAGTATCCTGAACTGTGAAGGTCGGCAGAGATGAAGAGGGATTTCTGGTCTTGCCAATCCTTGCTCACTTCTCTTTCCATTTCAGAGAAGCTGTCTTCATCGCTGGACAAGGCTCTGCAGTGCTCTAGTCCTCCCTCTGCATCTGACAGTGGGTGCAGGTTGATGGACATCAAGGAATCTATTGGAAGAGAATGGACAGAGTTTATAACAATGAATTATTTTAGACAAAGTTTACACAAACTACAGACACTAATGCACAGCTACCGCCATCCATCCTCATTTGTCCATGACAGTAAGCCTGCATACGATGAAGGCCTAAATTAATGTGCTGGTTTATTATGCTAGACGTCACAACTGCTGCATCATCTCCAGTTACTTAATGTCCTACTGAGAGACTGACTCATACATTATTCTCCTCTATATATGGAATTATTATTATTATTATTATATGCTCCACAGAAAAACACTTTTTAATCTCTGCCAGTATCACCCTGAATTAAGTGTGCCCACCCCCTTTCCATTCTTTTTCTCAACACTTACAATCACCGTCTTTCTCTCCCTCGCTCTCCTCCTCCTGGTCCCCCTCATAACCCGAACAGGAAGTGTCCAGGCTCCAGTCCAGGATGTCGCCCAGCAGCCTCTCCTCCTGATTGGACAGCTCGGCTGTAGGCGTGGCCACAAAGCTGGCTCTTTCAGCCTGCATCCCCTCATCGCGTCTCCTGGGGAGAAAGGCGACCAGCAACATGTTACAGTGAGTCACAGATGGCACAAACAAACACCCTTGGGCAAGATGCTTTCGCATGTCTGTTACGCAGCACAGGAGACTCACGACAATAAGGACTGCTAAATGAGCAAGGAGGAGGAGGCACACGTGTCTTGCAACGTCCTGTCATGTAAGAGCTCTATATACTAAGATTCTTTTGATTTTATGTACAATATGTTGCAAAGCCGGGAGCTACAGTCTATGAATATAAAAAGAAAAATGGTGAGACATTTGCATCTGGGGTTTTGGTTATAGTCATACTGCCATGTATCGTAGCTTTAAAAGGTCCAGTGTGTAGGATTTAGGGGCATGCATTGGCATAAATGGTAAACAATATTCATAACAATGTTTTCATTAATTTACAATCACTTTAAAATAAGAACAGCTGTGTTTTTGCTACCTTAAAATTAGCCATTTATATCAACATACTTTGTGGGTGCTCATTCAGAGACCATTTTGCTCTACAGTGGCCCAGAATGGACAAACCAAACACTGGCTCTAGATGTTCAAGACACTTGGCACATGGGAGAAGTTTCAGTTGGTTGCAATCTGCAAACTCACCACTAGATGGCACTAAATCCTTCATAATTGACCTTTAACAGTGTCTTTACCTGACCTGAAAATGCTGTCAGTCATTTGATACAATTTTCTTAAGTGATTCAAATGTTTGTGCTGGGAGCAGTGATCAATAATTGAATTGTCTGGCCAAAAACTACAGATTTTTTTGACACCTACGTCTTATTTAAATCAAATACTGTGCAAGAAAGTGCTAAGAAGACTGATACCAGTAAAAAATAAGTGTCGTTATTGATCATTATATGTAATGTGACTTTTCGCATTGTTATCAAGACAATCAGACAAAAATATCTCTAGATTTTGCTTTGACCACATTGCCAAGCTCAAACTAAAATTCTCCGCAAGGGCTGGGCAGTATATCAATATTAGATTGACACTATATCGATATCGTGATATGACACTAGATAACATCTTAGATTTTGAATACTGCAGGTGTCGTCTTTTCTTAATTTTAAAGGCTGCATTACAGTAAAATGATATAATTTTCTGAAGCTATCAGACTGCCCTTTCTGTTCTATTGTTCGTCTTGCCCACTTAGTCATTACATCCACATTACCGATTATAATTTATCAAAAATCTCAGTGTGTTAATATTTTGTCAAAGCACTAATAGTCCACCCTAAAATATCACTGCAATACTGATAAAGTTATCAGGTCAAAAAATATTTTGATACTTGATTTTCTCCATTTTGTCCAGTCCTACTCACCACACTTACAAAAGCATAATAGACCCAAAATAAATAAATACTAACATTGCCTCCCTCCGCACTGTCCAGGCTCTTATTGTAAGAAGATAACTTGAGATAGAGTGAGAAAAAATTAATGACCATAGGGGATAAAAAGTGACAGTGGCTCAGTAGCCCAGTGCCATTAGAAAGCCACGCAAGCACAGCAAGCCTTAGAGTGCTCACAGCAGGTCTATGTAATAAAGGAAATGGAAAAATTTCAGTGGGTCCCATTACATTTTCTTGGGCCCAGCAGGCTATATTACATTATACACAACACTACCCAAGTGTTTATTGTATTACATAGCATACGCATCAGTATTTTGTATATATTTAGAGGGGGCCTCATTTTCTGCCATTCATATATTGATAAAATGTTGGACATTTACATTAAATGTGTTCAAAATTTCAAATAATGAGACAAACGTATGTAAAAGTAATCCTTGTGAGCAGACAGTTCTGAATACTCTTGTTTCCGATATTTTTCTCTACTTTGAAGAAAAGCTGATGTCAGCTCGTGATGGATTTCTTTCTATGGTCATCTGCTCCAGGCTCACTACTGCAAGTGTTCACATTACAAACAAGCAACATGTAGCTACATGCTAACATCAGGGAAACATGTAATCTTGGTTGCAGATGTTGTAATGTTCTCCCCACAACCAGATCATATTCCTGCTGGAACATGTCCACATTTTGGTTAAGAAGCTTTTATTGATAGAAAGTGCCTCTATTCTCCGTCAAAGTCATCGCACAGCTGCCATGATGGTGCAGAAATATGTATGACCAGGAAATGCTGTCCATTTACTGTTTTTTTTTTTTTTTTTAAAACATGAAACCCTTAATGTGTTGTACTGGGGAACGTGTGTGTAACTGAATTACCTCTTGTTTGTGCTGGATGGAGAGGCGAGGAAGGTGTGGATGTCTGCTGGTTGACCAGTGGGACTGGCGGGCTCCATCTGAGGCTCCACCTCTGGAATCTCCAGGATCTGACACAGCTCTTTAAAATCCATCACCTTGTAGAGACAATTATATAATGTCAGTGACCAGTTTCAGAGACACGATGAAAGAAATTCAGAATTGTGTTTGTTTTATGTCCCCATACCTGCATTAAAAAATAAATAAATAAAAATAAAGTACCTTTTCTTTGCTGATGTGCTGGTAGGCGTCATCTTCAAACCGTTGCTTAACGCCAGTTAGAGACACGTGCCTGTAATCTTTGGGAATGTCTTGACTGAAACTGAGGAGAGACAAAAAGTGCGGGGTAAAGGACTGAGTTTGATCTACCTTCCTTACTGCATCTCTATAATCCACTCTTGGGGCCAAAATCTTGTTACTTTTCCATTTGAGAATTATGGTTTGTCGATACGATGCTCACCTATCAAAGTGACTCACCCTGAGGCACGTTTCTGTGACTCAGTCGTGATTCACTGATAATTATTTACCCCCCCCCCCCCCCCCCCCTCCTGTGTGAGCCGAGGTACAGTTACAAAATAGACAATGGACTAGAATGTTTTCAGTGGCATTTTCTGTAGCTTAGAGTAAAAATATATTCATGTTTCCCCATGCAGAATAAAGGCTTTCAAAAGCTGCTGTACAGTAAAATAATGGTTGAATAAATGATGCGAATTATTGATGCTTTAAGCGAGTCTTTAATCATATACTTTTGATTATTCTCTCTATGTATCATTTTGTCCTAAGAATTGTCTAAACTATCTACTGCATGTCTGTCCGCCCTGGAAGAGGGATCAGTTTCTCTTCCTGAGGTTTCTTCCATTTTTCCACATTTGAAGGGTTTTTGGGGGAGTGTTTTCTCATATGCTGTGAGGGTCCAAGGACAGAGGGTGTCTTATGATGTACAAACTGTAAAGCCAACTAAGGCAAATTCTAATTTGTGATATTGGACTATATAAATACAATTTAATTCATTTTTTTTAGACTTACATAATGTGGACAGTGGACACCAGAGGCTATCAATCTGGCTACCTACTGAAAATGCAATGGTAAAGCCAGGAAAGTAATGGGATTACAGCGACGGATTTTTAACATGCTGCCAAACACTGGTGTCAAATAACATCTATAGGAGATGCTCTTATTTGTTAAACCCAAAATAGGGGTCAAAAACTGAATCTCAATCGTCACGAGATGATGGCAAGAAAACATGTTAGGATAAAGAAAAAAAAAAAGAAAAGAAAGAAAACCAACCACGGGATCTTTTGGGACCCACCATGTTAAACCATGCTATCAGAACACTTGTTTTATTTGTACTAAGCTCATCAGCGTCATCTTCTTTCCCTTGCTATGGTGGAAAGTAACTGCATGTAGAAGGCAAGGCAAAATAAAAACAGTTCACAACTTTCCTTGGCAACAGTTGGCTTTTGTGTGGATTGCATGGATGATTATTAGAGCAAACTTACGATCTGAAGGATTTTACAATGACAGCCACTTCAGTACACAAGCAATCATAGTTCTACAAAATGCAACCTATAATTTAAATACACAGTACACAACAATAACAAATATGCAGGCTGGATAATGCTGTGGTTCAGCAGGGACTGTGCTGCATACGAGTAATCAACTGAGAAACACACTACGTCAGTCAGAGCCCATTTCATTTGCTAACCTGGCTAAGCTAATAGGTAGCTACATGTGGGCGGTTACCAAACAGACTGCACCTATTCAAAGAATAAAATGTTTTTTTCTTCTTTTCTCTACAGATATTACCACTTCAGGAACCTAATTCTGAACGGATTACATTGGTCTCAAGGAGACACTTAACCTTGCTGAGGTCACAACACCTGAAGTGTATTTCTATGTGCTGTTCAAGAATAGATCCAATTTCTATGCTGGCTCTCGCTCGTCCGAGGTCATGATAACAAAGTACCTATTAGTGGAGCTGGACTCATCTAACTGAGCTCAGGAAAAAGAAAAGACGTGGGTGTGCTGAATGTGACCAGACAGACTGAGAGAGGATGATGAGAGAAATGAATTGCTTGGCTACCAATTGCGTCAAAACACACACACATAAAACACAAACACTTACCACTTGACATAGAGCAGCACAGCTAGGGTGGTGAGGTCTTGCTTGGAGAAACCTGTGTAGTCAACTAACTGGCTGGGCCAGAGTGGAGCTGCAGAGGGAGACAGAAGACATAAGTCAAGGTGAAAATAAACACTCAACTCAAACTGTAAACTCTAAGTTTGTCATGATTATTTGCATTACATGTCAGTGTTTAACAGGTGACACGATGCATCTTGTGTTCTAAATGTGTTTCAGTGCATGTTATTACCATAGTGATGTAGTGCTCTTGTAAGCAGTAGCACAGCGCAGGCCAGTTTGGAAGGTGGCGGTGTGGCGAGAGCAGAGTAGAGCAGTGACAGCTCACAGATGTAGCTGAATAGGTGAGTGGTCCGCCTCTCCAGAGGGAGCAGAGACAGCAGCACCTCCCCGTAGTCCAGCAGCGTGGGGCTCTGATGGGAAGTGCATAAAATTACCCTTTACATTCAGTTCTTAATTCACCCGAGAAAACTCTTTCATGGCACTTAAATACTCCGCATTACTTGAGGATAATTGTTGTACTCACCCTGATCTTTCCCTCCAGCACAGAGACAACCTCCCCCATCATTCGAACCAGGTCCTCGTATTTGTAGGTGTTGTCTGTGAGCCAGACAGCTTCACGTATGGTCAGGATTTCTTTACTCATATAGCTGAAATGAAAAGTTAAAATATATTTGTATATTTTCAACAAAATACAAATCTGGATATTTTTTTTCCCCCTTCAAAACCAGCCATAAAATGATTTTTAGTTTCACAAAAGACACAACAACTACATCAAAGAGGCCCTATTTAGCTTTTCCTTATGTCTGTAATGTTAAAATGTCATATGTTCATATTAAAAGTGGCTGAACGTTCAAATAACAAGGGGAACATATGTAAAAGTAACCTCTGTAGGTGAAAACCTCAGGCTTTAGATTGTTCTGAACACTGTTTCCAGCGTTCTGTTCTACCTTGGCGACAAGCTGACGTCAGCTCATGACAGATTTCTCTATATTGTCATCTGCTCCTGCTCTAACATGTAATCTTGGTTGCTCAAGCTGCATTTTCTCCCCGTTTTCTGATTATAGTCCTACAGGAAGCGTTTAGAAGCTTTTATTGGTGACCTTTAAGGGGAGAAAGTGATACTACATACAGTCATTCCTGAGCTACAATTACACTGCAGCATGTAGCTGCATACTAACATCAGGGAAACATGTAATCTTGGTTGATGATGTTGATTATTTCTCCCCGTTTCGAAACATATTCCTGTTGAAACATGTCTGGTTGTCCGGGGGCTTAAAGAGACAGGCGCTAAAACTGAGCGCCACAGTCAGAAGTCAGGTGCTCCAGCACAGACAGTATGAGGAAAATAGTGGTTTTTGAATATTAACGCATGTAAACATGTTGTAGTAGAAGAGGCATGTGTGCATGCTCACCGTGTACAAACTACCATGCAGGCAATTCCCAATAACTGAAGGCGAGCCTTGGGGACAGAGCGCAGAGCCAGGTAGCGGTCCACACAACCCACTGTCACATGCAGCGTCAGGCTGGAGAAATCCTTCATGGTGGTCACCTCCACAAGCCAGTCCACCAGGATGTACCTGGACGGGCAGGAAGAGACAGAGACGAGTAGAAATTGAAGGTCATGTGCATCAAAAACAGGAATAATGACTCAAAAATCCAGTGGAAAAAAATTAAAATACAGAAAGTGCATTACAGTGGAACAAGAGGCAAAATATTGAAGTCATTAACCCGTGTGCTTTAGAGCCACAAAACATTATCTGATCTTAAATCAGCCACGATGGCTCTTCGGTAATGTCATTAAATAAGGCCAAGATGATCAAAACAAAGCGAGTCATTATAATGACTAACAGGAACATTCAATTGTCTCGAAAGATATTATTCACCACGAGACTGTAATGATGCCAGTAATATCATGAAGGAGTTTCCGTCTACCTCATAGTGTCCTTGATGCCTCGTCTGAGGATGCCCTGAGAGCAGTGTCGTGATGCCGGGTTAGAGGAACTAAAGAGCTGAGCCACTAAGTCAGAACAGGCTTTCGACTCCAGGCCCAGGGGATTCCCGCTGCTGCACACTTTAGCCAGGGAGAGCTGAGGAGAGGGAAAAGACAGTGCGTTGAACAAATTATCCAGAGTGGCTCGGCAGCTTGTCAAATTGGATCACACCACAAAGACAACAATACGGTTAAGCTCTGCAATAGTTTGCTGCTGTGATGAGCCTGTGACTTTGGATGAGTCATATTTTTGTGATTCAGTGGTGCAGCTTGATAAAGTGACAGCACTTTAGGAAGGAAATAGTGCTCACTAGGAATATCTTCTATCTCTGGACAAATGGAGCGGTGGGAAATGAAAAAGAGAAATGAAACAAAACCACGACTGATAAAAAGCTGTCAAAAGACACTTCACTGTCTTTGGTAACATCACAGTGGACAACAGTGGGCAAATAAAGACAAAGAAGGCCATCAATCAAGATTGAAAATGCACAGGAGTACATTGAGTCACCTGCTGCTTCATTATAACAGCAATTCTGTCTTCAATCACATACACACCTGAGCCTCCCAGGATCCTTTGCCAGCGTAGTCCCTGAGGGTTCGGATACACTGGAGGTACCTGCCTGGATCTGCCATCTGAGATTCAAACACAAATACATGAACATTCATGTGTAGAAATCTTTTGTTTGACCCATTTTTTAATCAAATATACTTGCAAAATATTTTCTACAAGCAATAAAACATGTTAGTGTGAGGCCCTTGCACACCAAGTCTGTATTATTCATCTGTAATTGCTACACATTTAAAAAATAAATGGTGTCAATCACATTTACAAAACTTTCACGTGTCATTAAAGTTCTCAGAACAGGTTTGATATTCTGCGTTTTTTTGCTTACGTCAAAAGCCTTTCGAGAGTTGTTTGACCGAGAAGCACTGATGAAAATGTGGTGTAATGGTGACACACATGCATCCACAACAAGCGACAGGAACAGGGAACACGAAGAACAATCTAGAGAATGGTAAATGGTAAATGGACCTGCATTTGTATAGCGCCTTTCTAGTCATCTAGTGAAAACTCAAAGCGCTTTTTACACTACGAGTCACGTTCACCCATTCACACACACATTCATACACTGGTGGCCGAGGCTACCATACAAGGTGCCACCTGCTACTCAGTTTTTTAACACACTCACACACCATTGGAATAGCCATCGGGAGCAATTAGGGGTTCAGTATCTTGCTCAAGGATACTTTGACATGCAGCCTGGAGGAGCCCGGGATCAAACCGCTGATCTTTTGATTGGTGGACGACCCGCTCTACCTCTGAGCCACAGCCGCCCCACAAAGAGAAGCAATGACCTTTTTGAAATTGTCCACGACAAAGAGGAGGTAATGTCAGCCTATCCAGAAATGCACAACAGTAATGATGAAGCTTACAGCAGAGTGCAATTTAATAGCTGCACAGTATCACGCCATAACTCAGGCAGCCACAGTGCCAAATGAAATTTATGTGGACAGAGAGTGGCGACTTCCTAGGAAGGCAGCTTCAGTGGAGAGAAGCAATCTTTCATATTACAAATCTCATGACAAATAGAGACTCAGCATGCAGTCATTAAAAACACATGCAAAAATACAGACTTTGTGTGCAAAGGCCTTTAGTCTCCAACTTTTTATCAGTGAGTTCCTGTGTGACCTCTGCTATAAATAAATGTGCCAGTGGTCCAGTGTGACATGGAGAAACTGCAGGGAAGCCCAAATCAATAAGGTCAATGTAACCATGAGTTGGCCACTGATTAGAAAACTCAATGAGGTTTTTGGACTCACAGCTGCTCTGCGGCTGTGTTCCCAAAGCAGGTAGGAGCTCTGTAGACATCCAGCGTGTGATGACTCCTCCAACATGGATATGGCATCAGAGCGTCTTTCATCACCCTGAAAAAGGTAACACAAGTCCAGGTGTGAACAACAGATCTTACTTATCAAACGGACAAAACTGTTCTGTACCTAGACATGAAGAAAGCAGTCAAACATTGTCTCATCGACACAAAAAGTGTATTAGTCATGATCCTGAAATATAAAAAAAGAGTTCTGTGTAAGCAGTGTGATGTAATCTGTCATAGTAATAAATAACAAAGCACAGCAGGGCTGTTAATAGGAGCAATCAACGGGGGATATTGCAACACCAGTGATATACGAGGGAAGGGGAAAACAACAACTATCCCATCTGTGCTGTTAATAACTGTGGCACACAGCTATACACTTGAATTAGAGGCTAATAGAAATGGAGCTAACCACACCCACACTCACTTCAAACAGCTGCAAAACTCTGGCCAAACAGTGCAACAAGGGTCCTCTCTTCTCCTGTAGAGAGGAAAAACATTAAATGGTGAAAATTTGAAATCATTTATATACTGGCATTAGAGCTGCAACGACAAGTCATCTAATCAATCAACTGAAAATTAATCTGCAACTATTCTGATGACCGATTAACTGTTAAATATGGAAATTTCTTTTTGTGTTACTTTGTCTTAAACTGAATATATGTGGGATTTGGACTGATAAAACGAGACATTTAAAGACATAGCTTTGGACTTTGAGAAACTGGGATGAACATTTTTAGAGCTGTACTGATACTGATACCAGTATCGGAAATGCTTCCGATGCTGCCTAAAATGCGGTATCGGTGAGTACAGCCTATGACCAATCCGATACCACGTAATGCCTCACGTCATTACTCATACGCACGCTACAGGAAACAAAACGGAGCGGAGTTTAAAAAGCATTCTACTATAGCCTTTAAAATGTCTTTTTTACCAAATGTGTGGCTGCACCTGTGTCTTGATCTGTGTCAACACTGGATAATAATAATAATAAAAAAGTTTTATGTCATTCATTCTACTATTATGTATGTACTGTATTTCTTAATATTTTACATAGAGTTTTAGGAGTTGAGCCATACAACAATTCATATCCCATCCATTTTTATTTTACGCTCTGGTATCGGATCGGTACTCGGTATCGGCAGATACCTAAGGTTCAGGGATTGGAATTGGGAAGGAAAAAGTGGTATCAGTACATCTCTAATTATTGCTTATTAGTTGTGGACGCAAGCTAATAAAATGAATGCAGCTTTATTATCCACATATGTTGGTTAAAAAGGAAGCACATTTTTCTGTTCTTTAAAATGCCAATAGCCAAACCTACTGCGTTTTTATCACATTCGGCCTTTAGATGGTCGAACACCACGGCCTTGCAGCAGCTGCCGGTGGGCGACCACGGGGGACGGATAAACACCCAGATGAACGGATCTGTCGTGGGAGAGTGCAGGCTCTCTGCCAGGCTGAAGAAGTGGGAAGCCTTGCGACCACACACATCCGCTCGCCCCTCATCACTCAACAACGCTGGTGAGGAGAAACAAGGCGCAAGTGTGGAGTTGTTATTACTTCAATCATCATCTAAAAGGGTTTCATTTGACTTTTATTTAACCAAGATGTACTCGCAAGATACTTCTGTTGTGTTTAACTTACGTCCTTCATTGTACAAATAAGCGATGCCCAGTTTCACAGCGGCTTCAAAATTCCCTTTCTCAGCAGCCCTGAAAAAAGAGAGATGTTTCAGGTGAAAATCCATACAGAGGTAAAGCAATACACCAATTTCAGGAGTTTTATTTATTTGACAAAAGTGACTGTACCTTTCAAATAGCCATAAGGTGTTGGGGGATGGCCACGTGTCCCTGAAACTGACCCTGGCCCATACACTAGAGTGGTTGTCAACAATGTCCCGCAGCTGGGAGTGAACCTGTAACAGAGGTCGAGACAATTAGTCCATCAATACCAGAGACATCTGACCTATTAAATCAGGTGGTGCCAAGATGCTGGAGCCAGAGCAAATCTGGGATAACATAGCACATACATGCTAGAGGTTGTGTAGCAGTGTTACAGTGCGTTTACTCACTGCTCTGACAGACAGCAGGTCCTCAGCAGAGAGGCACTGGAGCACACAGAGGAGGACCTCCTCGGGTAGAGACAGCAGAGTCAGGTCTGGAGTTCGCTTACGGACCCGCTTCCTTGCTGGAACCGAGTAGCATTTTGAACAACGGCAGTGGACTACTGACAGGAAGAGAAGTCAAAAGTTAGTCTCTTGGTACACCTAAACACCAAGTTCCCCATTCTTTAGCATGGTTCACATACTCAGTGCAAAACGCAGCATAGTGTTAAACACATATGAAGTGCACAAACAAAACCCCCAAAAGCATTTCACATCTCAGTGCAAGGTTTACAAACTAATTCTCACATTATTGTCAAACAAATATTTGAGCTTCATTTACAGCAGGCCAACAACATGCTAGGCTAGCTGATAACCAGGCTCAGCAAGGTGAAGGTTATGGCTCCATATTCAAAACGCCTAACGTAAAGTATCTCCGGGTGGTCTGATCAAACCCTCTATTTGACTGCTTAAAGTTTAAATCTGTAGAAAGTTAATTAGCTAAGGTGTCAAAATAAGCAACATAATTTAATCAAGTGCTGTAAGCATTAATAGATATCTATAGATGGCGAAATGAGCATCTGCCTTGGGAAAGTCAAACCAAGTGAGCGCCCAAATTTCCCTCCTGTGCTTCAAATGCATAACGTTACATTACATATACATTTCATGAAGTTTAACATTATGTTATCGTTTTTAATTACAACAAACTCGAAACGTGACAGGAACATAAACGCCTATTTTAATATTAGCTGCATTAACGTATCCATTTGAAACTACTTACAGGAGTAATGCATGGCTACCCCGGTTAACGTTTGAGCTGGCTATGAGCTAGTAACCACCGCTAACTCTGTCAATCTGCTAATGTTAGCATTTAAACACACGTTCACACATATTCGCTTTACATAAGTCACACGGACATTTCTCGATATTAAAGCTAGCTAAAGTTGACTCAATTTACTTACCGCCCGCTTTCATTGCAAGTGCAGTGATCTCCCCTGAAACAGCGATGCCTGTAGCTACAACACTGGGAGGCGATTTAAACGTCACGGCGATGCTAGCAAACTTTAACCACACACGATAACAAGCTATTTCCCCAGAAAATAAGATATACAGTGTTAGAGCACTGCTCACTGGCTCTGTTGGGCTGTAGTAGTTGACTAATATCTTAACAAGTTGTAAGCTCGTGCTCAATTCAAATTCAAGCACGCGTCCTCACTTGTTGGACCCGCCCCAAAGCTACTCTAGGACCGCCCGCGCTTAACGTTTAAACGCCACAACGAAGCTAACTGGTCTGGCTAGGTGCCGCCCAACTACTACACAGCAGCCTTGTGATTGGCCAGCGTCAGGAGCGGTGACGCCGATTGGCCGGATTTCATAAACTGTAAAATAGCAGAAGACGATTGGACAACGTGACGCCATTTCGAACTACGCGCTCGTAAGTGGATGGACATGATTGGTTGACCTGATTACGAAGTCAGACTACAGATCCGCCTCTATACGTGGATTGTGGGTAGTGTAGTTGAACAGGAGAAGCCGTTTAAAGGTACCCCGTTTAAAGGGACAGGCGCACAGATCTAGAGTAGTAGATTTGTGTTTATGTCAATACCTGCCCCTTGTACCCCATTTTACACAGAGATCCCGCTATAGAGCTGCTATTAAGTTCCTTCTTTATGTCTCCTTTGCACTTTTAAACAACGGTGGTATTATACCGCTCCGGTGTGATTATACACTGCAACGTGGCTTTGTGGAATCAAAAGAGGCATGATGGGTGTGACATGTAACACAGAAGTGTGGACCACTAGTGTGACATATAACTAAGGCGTCGGCAGCGGTTTCTAAACAATAACAAAGGCATAATATCACAAAATGTTTTCTATCCCTGTTATATGGCGGCTGATTTCATCCTCTATTCGGAGGGTAATGAGCTCCCTGACCGCATTGTTTTCCCAATTTGCAGACATTTTCGGCCACTGCTCTTCCTCTTTCTTTGAGGTAGTTGCTAACTGCTAACAGCTACTTTTTGAATCTATCACACATCTGTCACACACATAACATGTCGTCACAACGTTACACCCCTATGATCCTATTCTGCGGGCCACCTGCAGCGAAGAGAAGTCATTTCACCTCCGTTCCCAGCTCAGAGGCAAGACAACCTTGCTCTACTTTTCCGCTATCATACCTCATAAAAAGCAAAGCAAAGCGAGGCGGCATAACAGCGTGATATTCCCGCTCTAAACAGGCAGCGTAAAAAGGGGCTAATGTCAATACCTGCCCCTTGTGCCACATAGAGTGCCCCAGGAATGAATCCTATGAATACTTTGCATTTTACTACTCATAGTCCCCTCGTCTCAAAGTCAATGTTTTTTTGAAAAGTTAGGTGCCTGAAATAAGGTCTGTGGTTCACACAAGCCTAAGAGACTTTCACGTTTTATCTTACAACATAAAATATGTCAGTAAATACCCCACTTGTGACCCTTGTAGCTTCTATGTGTCTTAAAAAAGGCAGTTGCTAACAAGTGGCTAAAGAAGACTACAGAACATCATCACGCATAGCCATGCCGAACATGGCTTTGTAGTCTTGTTATGGTGGTGACCTTATGTGACCTTAGAATAGTTTGTTTGTAGCCCAACATTAGCATTTTACCTCTGGCGATTGCATTTAGGCTTCAATAATCAAGAAAGTGGTGTTCATTTGTGAAGATTATCTTGCTGAACAAAACGTGGAAACATCACAGACCTTTGTTTTCCACAGAGCTAATTTTTGGCAGTATTCCAAAATCCAATGCAAAAATTCCAGAGGCTTTTTGACAAGGGAATAGTGTGCAGCTAACGTCTGTGTGGGCCAACAGAAAAATGTCAGCCCTGGGGCGCTCCGTTTACTGTTAAATATGTTTTTTCTGGGGCGTCAGTGGCTTAGTGGTAGAGCAGGCGCCCATGTATAAGGCTGTTGCTGCAGCGGCCCGGGTTCCACTCCAGCCTGTGGCCCTTTGCTGCCTGTCACTCCCTCTTTCTCCCCCTTTCACGCTTGTCTGTCTTATCCATTAAAGGCTAAAAATGCCCCAAAAAATATCTTTAAAAAAAATTAATAAATAAATGATTTTTTTGTGTCTGTCAGCTGGACACACTGAAAGACGGCAAATTTTGGTTGGAAAAGCAACAAATTGTTTCATCCCTAAGAGTACATTGTTGGATTTTTGTCTGTTTTGGCCAAACATATTGTAAAATCAATTTTTTTTCCTACATTTTATTTATTCATTACACAGTTTTAGTTATATCTCTGTAAGTCATTCCTCCTTAAATGTTTTTTAAACACCTATTCTACATTGCAATGCTTGTAAATCACTCCTAATTAATTTAGAATGCATTTTAAAATACTGTGTCAAGTCAAATGTATTTAAAGCAAGTTCAAAAATGCCCCACGTTCACCACCTTTTTTAAAAAAAAATAAATATGTGAATGAGTGAAACTATTCTTGAAGCTTAAAACCCTTTAACGTTCCACTCAGCCATTTGTCAGAGCACATTTTAAGTCACTATCTTAATGAAAAATGTGTTGAACTTAACCTAATTAAGCTATCTCTACCATTTGGTTTAGGTATGTTGTGCTAAAGAAATCCACTAGGTGTCGCTATGCCTTAAAATAGTATGCCTTTTCACTTCACCTAAGAAGTTAGTTACAAAAATAGTCACTCCAGACCCGAGGACTGCATGGTGGGATTTTTTTCAAGATGTTGAATTTTAGAGGTCTAACTGAACAGATTTCTGTAACATTATACAAAAAATAAAAGTCTAGTAAGGGTCAATTTCACACACAAAAAAAAAGTTCAGTTCAGTAGTCCTTTTATGGTAAAGTTAGTAAAGCTAAGCTAATGTTATTACATTTGATTATGTGCTATGAAATACAAAAACTTTGAATTATTAATTGTTGTTAAATTATACATTTAATGTTATCTAATAAATACTTACTGAAATAATTTCATAAGTATTATTTTTTACTGTTTAAAGCCTCAAGCAAACAGTTGAATTGTCCGTTCATTGTAAAGGTAATGATGCTAAGATAATAAATCTACATTTTTTTAGTAAATAAAAAAAGGATGAATATTCACTTTTATTAATATTTAATGTTATCCCATTATATATTTGATGAAAAAAATATGTCAGTATGATTTTTTTCACAATTTCTAAGGTTTTTTCAAATTACTGTAGTGGCAAATATCTAAAATGAATACATGGAAATAATACTAGTACTGGTAGAACTGCTAATTCCTTGGCAACAAATTGATCTATGTTGGTACACTAATATATTGCTAGCACTATAACAGTACATGATTTATCATTTTGATTTTTTTCCTACCATGAAGTGACATCTCAACTGTTTGGTAGTAGCCTATATAAAAAAAAAAACATTGATTTTTGTTATTATTATTGCCCCAAGGAAATCCATTGCTGTTTTCTCAATGTGGACATTAAAGGGTTCATTTCAAAAGAAAAGAGAGTAGGAAAGAAAATTGTAGTATCATGCCAAATGCACGTTAACATTTGCAAACTGAGCAACGGGATATAAAAGCAGGGAAGTGCGCATTCAGTTACAATGCTGGTAGGGTTATAGGTTATTAAAGAGACAGAAGTATGTGAGTCAAAGGTTATAAAAAAGCATGAAAACGTCAGTGGAGCAAACAACATCATTGATGTGTTCCTTGTAATGGAGCACAATAAGAAATCATGACGTCAGTTGCCTTGTTCTTTTGCACATCACACACACACACTTTACAATTCATCAATATTTGTGTGAGCAAGCAGAGATGTAAACGAAAGCAACAGATTGGTTTTGGCCTGTGATGCAGTCGCCTTTGAGGAAATTACAAATGATTAAGGCCGGGATGATTAAGACCATTGTGTCGGGTCCCCATTGTGAGTAAATAGACGACTCTCTTGGCTGGGCCATAAAGGAGCAGAGAGAACACTACCAATAGTAATAATTTATTCCTTTCAGCCTCACAATTGATCTGCATCATCCCCTATCTCTTCATCACCTACTTTTGTTCAACATCGACCCCTGCCTCTAGAAGAATAGAAGAAAATATTTCTGTATCCTCTGCATTGTATCTGTCACTCCTCTGTAAATGTGCACGTGTGACGGTGAATAAAGAAAATACATCTCTGCCATTTTGTCCCTGTGTTCATTGAGGCGTGTATTTCCCACTGCATTTACTGGAGGTGTTGTGTGATCAAATTATCCTGTAGCTGAGTGACCTCAGACAGGGCAGAGGCTGTGGCATCCTCATTTGGATGCAGTTACTGTTTCCATAGAAACTTCAGCCATTTTCTCAGCAAAACCCAAAGCGACCAGTATAATGGCTGGGGAAAAGTGACTGGTTGGTGCATTTAACCTAAACTGAAACTAATTACAGCAATAAAAGCGTGCACAGTGTGCTCTTAAAACCACGGGAGCCAGGTCTATCATTTTGCTCCCTGAGCAGTCATTATTCCTTCGCATAATTTCTCTGAAAAGACGTGTCAATATAAAGCTGCTGCCTACCACAGGAAGTAACTGTGTTTGATCTGGGAGGTAGATGGGAGTGCGATGACTTCACACGTTCATAAAGAGCTGCCCTGTTGCAGCAAGGTATTAATTAACGGAACACCGAGCAGAACACATTGGCGAAGGAACTTTTGTAGATTGAAACACTGACTGACTTTTAAAATAGAAAGAGAGGCAGGATATTAAGAGAGGATGGGAAGGAGAGGTGATTCATAGGAGGGGGGACAGAAAAAACTTTTTTGCTTGTTGGTAATTGCCAGTGTCTCCTACTCATGTTCATCCAGAAACAATCAAAAATAATCAGTGTTCAGAGCGTGTGACAGTGTTATATTATCCCAGTGCTCTCAGGTTTGTGAGTGATTATTAAATCAAATTGCTTCTCATCACATTTGCTCCTATTACAATACCTACACTGAGACTGCGTTTTAATCTCATTTTGCTGGTGATTTAATTTGACTGTCTGGCCAGGCATGTGTGATTCACATAAACATCTGTCTCCAAAACAGCTGTCGTAATATCTGAAGCAGATTTTAAACGTACCCATCCTACTACAAAAGCATCATTTAGAAGCTACAGCAGGCAGGCAGTGACTAACTACACAGACAGAATTGTCTTTAGCACAGATGCTGTTGATCAGGAATGTGAACAAAACATATATACAGTCATCAGGCCCCA